GTCCATCAACATAGCCATTACGCTAACTGCTGGTTCCCAGTAATTATACTTTTCAACTCCAGGGTATTTATATGGATTTTTTTTTCTTTTCTTATCTTTTAAAATATTTTCTGTTTCTTTTTTAATATTCTCCATTTATTGAGATATTGTTCCTACTTTCCTTTTGTTGGTTTATTTTAGACATGGTCTCCTTTAGGTATTTTAAACATATTTAAAATAGTTGAATTAGGGCTGAATTTCTGGCTTGGTGCTTAAGGTAGCCAGGTCTCCATATGGCCAATCTAGTGCTTCCAGTCTCGGACCTGGTAACTTGAGAAATATGCTAAGTGGATGTGTATGTGCCCAAAATGCCACAAAAAAAGGAAAAGATGAAAAAGGAATTGCCTCGTGACCATTCCCCATAGGAGTTGCTTTTTCCTCTTCCTCTCTCTATGTCTCTCTCCAGTGAGTGCACATACCTTCTAGTGAAAAAAAAAAAAAAAAAGATATTAAAGTAGCTTTTGTCTAGTGAGGATGATGTCTAGGCTTCCTCAAAGACAGTTTTGTTTATTTGTTTTTGTTTTCCTGTGTATGGGTCATACTTACTATTCTTTTTTAATTTCCAGAGTGTGCATGTACTTTCCAGAGAGAGGGGGATAGCAACAAAGCCCCCCCGCCATGGGACATAGCCATGTTGCAATCCCTTCTCTTCCATTTCTCCTTCTTTTTCAGATTGTGGGCATCTGCGTCTGGTGTGTTTCTGAAGCCATTGGGTCTGGACTCCGACAGCATGGTCAGCCATGTGAGATCCAGCTGCCTTAACCAGCAAGCCAAAAGTTGGCCCAGGCCGTACTTACCTTATTCTTCTGCAAGTTAAAACACCACAGAGGTTGCTACTCTGAGATTTAGCTATTTTTCTTGAATAGATACGCTCTGGATTTCTTCAACCTGTTGGTTCATTTCCAGAGCTATGAAAAAGTTGCTTCAGAAAGTTTATCCTACTTGCTTTTATGGGGAAAATAACTTATGGGAATTCTCACTACACCATTCTAGCTGGTTTCACTGAACATGCCCTGAAGCTCTTGAATGATGAGCAACAGTTACATGGAACCTTATTGTCTTGCTACCTTAGAAAGACAGACCATGCATCCACTAGAGATTGAATGAGGACCTACTTAAGAATACTACCAAGGGGGCAGCTAATGGCACAGTGTTTAAGCCAGCTGAATCCTACATGACTGACTTATAGTTCAAGTCTCTGACCCAACAGTTTGAAAAACACATCAGACACATGTGTGTTGGTGCCCAAAATTGTGAAAGGAGATTGGAGGAGAAGGGGTTGTGATATGGCCATCTTCCACATAGGGTGCTTTCTCACTTTCTTTCTGTCTCTTTCCAGCAAGCACACTTGCCCTCTAGCAAATAAAAATAAATAAATAAATAAATAAATAAATAAATAAATAAATAACACTAATGTGTCTTGATAGCTTGAAACAATTGTTGAATGCAAGGTCATAGTGACTTCCTTCTATGAAAGATTTCTCATAATTAAATGTCAAGCTTGCAATAAATATACAATGACTAAGAGTCTTTAGGTGACTTTGGGCCCAACCTATGAGTATGACCCTTGGTTGCTGAGTGACCTTCATCACAATACATTGACATTAACATTACATATTTATAGATTTCCTTCAAAATCTAGCTCAACTGTGAAAGTAAAGGGTTTGACACAGTTTATGGCACAAAGTAAATGCTTAAGAAATTTGAGCTTCTACCTGTTAGGCTGTCGGAGAAGTCATGTTTTTTTCATGCCTTTTCCAACAACCCACTATTATCATCATTGAATGTACCATTTGATACCACTAAGAATAATGCCTAATCATCACCTAAATGCTTTATTAAGAGGTGAACCAGGACTGCCTCGCTCACACTGCTCTCTTCTCTGCAATTCCAGGCACTGTGGTGGTCCAGCAGTTGATGTCGATGATGATCGGCAAACACGATTGCCTTTTCCCCAAAGATGCGGAACCGCAGAACAAGCCCCAAGACGGAGTGAGCAACAACAACAATGAAATCCAGAAGAAAGCCTCCGTGGGGGTGGGCCAGTTCCAGAACAAGGAGAACAACAACACCAAGGACAGCCCTGGGAGGCGGTGCTCCTGGGACAAGCCCGAGTCTCCTCAGAGAAGCAGTGTGGACAACGGCTCCCCCACGGCTCTATCCGGCAGCAAAACCAATAGCCCCAGGAACAGCGTCCACAAGCTGGATGTCTCCAGGAGCCCCCCTCTCATGGTCAAAAAGAACCCAGCCTTCAATAAGGGGAGCGGGATAGTCACCAACGGGTCCTTCAGCAGCAGCAATGCAGAAGGCCTCGAAAAAACCCAAACCACACCCAATGGGAGCTTACAGGCCAGAAGGACCTCTTCACTGAAGGGATCTGGTACCAAAATGGGCACCCACAGCGTGCAGAACGGAACCGTGCGCATGGGCATCTTGACCACAGACACACTCGGGAACCCCGCCAACGGCCGGAACATGAGCTGGCTGCCCAACGGCTACGTGACCCTGAGGGACAACAAGCAGAAGGAGCAGGCGGGAGAGGCAGGTCAGCACAACAGGCTCTCCACTTACGACAATGTGCACCAACAGTTCTCCACCATGACCCTCGACGACAAGCAGAGCGTGGACAGCGCCACCTGGTCCACTTCCTCCTGTGAAATCTCCCTTCCCGAGAACTCCAACTCCTGCCGCTCCTCCACCACCACCTGCCCGGAACAAGACTTTTATGGTGGGAACTTTGAGGACCCTGTTTTGGATGGGCCCCCACAGGACGAGCTTTCCCACCCTGGGGACTACGAAAGCAAAAGCGACCGCAGGAGTGTGGGAGGTCGAAGCAGTCGTGCCACCAGCAGCAGCGACAACAGTGAGACGTTTGTGGGGAACAACGCCAGCAACCACAGCGCACTGCACAGTTTAGTGTCCAGCCTGAAACAGGAGATGACCAAACAGAAGATCGAGTATGAGTCCAGGATAAAGAGGTAGGCAACCTGGACTTCATTATTGCCAGCGGGGTGCAGTAGCTTCTGGAGGTGGGACAGGATCACAGGAGAGATAACTGTGTTGGCCCCAAGGCAGAGAGACCTGAGTTCAAGTCCTCACTGCATCACTTTGAGCTGTGGGACTGTGAGGAAGGCAGCTTTGTTTCTGTGAGTCTCGGTTGCCTAATGTGAAAAATTTTAAAAGTAGGAATGTCTAACTTGAGTCCATGAGCAGCATTCCTGGTACAGAGCCGGTGACTGAATAATGTCATCTTTGACTATTATTAAATATGTAGACTTTGATTATTATCAGATATTATCATTTTAATATTAAAAAGAAGGCTGGAAGGAGAGAAGCAGAGAGCAGCAAACCTGTTAGTGTTCACTAAATTAGGATTTTTTTAAAGTTGTATACATAGAGCTTTATATTTTTATTTATTAAAAAAATTATGACAGAGAGAGCATGTGCATGCATGAGAGAGAGGGAGAACGCTGACAGGGTCCTCCTGTGTCGCGATCCCCTCTCTCCCCCTCTAGTTCCTCAGAGTCCTGGGCACCTGTGCGCCCATGTTTTCAAGCCAACCTGGGGATTTGAACCCGTGGAGAGCCACGCGGCTTCCAGCCCCCCAGAGTACTTGCATTACTCACTACACCAGAGCTGCCGGACCTTTCTTGTCCTTGCAGTCATTGAATGCTGAGAGAGCGTCTTCTCAGCTCTGAGGATGTAGTCGCCCTCAGAGAGGTCACGGGTGCGAGGTGACATCAGGCCTGGAGGAGGTCGTTTTCAGTGTTGGACGACGTACTCTGAGACAGGAACCCTTGGGGTTTTTTGAGAAGAGGGGCATCACGCGAACAAGGAAACTAGCGAAAGGGGGAGCAGAGGAAATGGTCTGCTCGGAGCGGCCGGGCTGTGGCTGGGTTTGCTCCGGTGTGACGCGCAGGTACAGGTTGCCCCGGGGCCCCCTCGGGGGCTCCCTGGGCGGGTTGAGGGCGTCTGCTGAACGCTGTGCTGGCAGCACTCCTGGGCGGCAGGTGCCCCCCCTCCCCCGACTCAAGAGATAGGAAAACAGAAGCTAGCCCAAGACCCACAGCTCAGCCTAGCATTAGAGACCCCGTGGGAAGCGGCCCTCCAGGGGTCTCAGTGCCCACTTCGAGCTGCGTGGATTGAGAGACCTCTCTGGGTGCTGTGCTAGGGTCTTTCGTAGTTTGTTTTTCAACTGCTTCTGTGCCTCCAAATGCCATTGTTTCTTTATGTGTTTTATATCTATTTTATAAATATATTTATATGTGTGCGTGTGTATAAAAACAGAGAGAGCAAGAGAAAGAGAGAGCCGGCTTTTATTGGGGGGCAAGTGGGTTTGCCATAGGGTATGTGGGCTCTCTGGAGATACAGTGAGAGGGAAGGTGAACAAACACTCCCACAGGGGGAATAGCCACGCCACAATCCCTTGTCCTCCATTCTCCTCTCAGGATTTAGGACACACACGCACACACACACACACACACACACACACACACACACACACCCCTGGTGTGACTCTCAACACACCAGCTCTGGAACTGAAGGAGAGAAGCAGAGAGCAGCAAACCTGTTAGTGTTCACTAAATTAGGATTTTTTTAAAGTTGTATACATAGAGCTTTATATTTTTATTTATTAAAAAAATTATGACAGAGAGAGCATGTGCATGCATGAGAGAGAGGGAGAACGCTGACAGGGTCCTCCTGTGTCGCGATCCCCTCTCTCCCCCTCTAGTTCCTCAGAGTCCTGGGCACCTGTGCGCCCATGTTTTCAAGCCAACCTGGGGATTTGAACCCGTGGAGAGCCACGCGGCTTCCAGCCCCCCAGAGTACTTGCATTACTCACTACACCAGAGCTGCCGGACCTTTCTTGTCCTTGCAGTCATTGAATGCTGAGAGAGCGTCTTCTCAGCTCTGAGGATGTAGTCGCCCTCAGAGAGGTCACGGGTGCGAGGTGACATCAGGCCTGGAGGAGGTCGTTTTCAGTGTTGGACGACGTACTCTGCGCCAGGAACCCTTGGGGTTTTTTGAGAAGAGGGGCATCACGCGAACAAGGAAACTAGCGAAAGGGGGAGCAGAGGGAATGGTCTGCTCGGAGCGGCCCGGCTG